TTATTTTGTATCGTTCTACTAGAGCTTGGAAGTGGGGACACTTCCAGACTTCCGTACATACTTCTTGAGCTCGAGCACGTCTTGGAAACTACAATCATAAATTGACCATTTCAGTCCGCTCCAGGTAATGCTGCAATTCTCGATGCTATCCCCTTCAACAACTACACCACTGCTCCCATTCAGTTCCCAAAGCACTTTTCCTTCATCCCATGGGGATATGGAAGACTCTATTGCCCAGTCATTTGACACTTTGCCATGACCACCTTCAATACTCAAGTATGATCGCGCAGTGGTGAGATCACCGGCTGTCACGGCTGCATCGACCAAATCGACAGTAGATGTCTCGTTCTGATAACCCTTTTCCGCTCCACTCATCTCTCTCGCCAAAATATAGTTGAAATGGTCGCCAACTGCAACGATGATTCCATCGCGGGATGCTGTGGATACAGTCCGAAGAGCTAGTCTTGGGAGATTGGATGTTCCAACTTTTTCCCATCGTTCGAAATAGTAGTGTTGACCATAGTTGTCTTTAGCATATGAGTACTCCTTCCAAACCTCGCCGTCTTCTTTCGCTTCGATCCACCATTTGTTTGGGCGGGTTCGTGGCGATCCAACAAAGTTCCAGTCAATACAGTGGTGACGAGTGCATAGAAGCCGACCATCCTCCGTGGAAGGATACGAAAATCCAGCAAAAATATGTTGTCTCGCGTACAATCGCAGCTCTTCTGGTCCCAAATCTTGCAGGGACGCGAATGTTCCACTCAATAATTCACTTCTGGACCGTGGAATTCTCATATCAATGAAGAGATTATGAGTTTGAATGTTGAATGCGATCTCGTCAGTATCGCTCGTATGATCCCAACCACCAACAAAGAGTGTCCGATTCCAGACACCGCACACGGCAGAACATGGCGGAGCGGTAGATCGCCACTGTTCAAAGACGGAATGCGTTTTTCCTTGCATCAAGTGATGATGAGGAAGTTCCGTCTCTTGAAATGGAAATCCTCGATCTGCTGTGTAGAGCTCGTCCGCTTTGCCGCCACCAGTGAGGATGTACCCTTGCCGCTTTGTCCAACCAAGATGTTTCGAGCGCACTTCGTTCATTGTACCAGATCCTACGGATCCCTCATGATTCACCTTTAGCCGTTTCTTCTCACTTTCCGCCATTGTCAATGGATACTCGTACTTGCTTTGTTTTGGGGGGAGGAGGCCTGCCTGATGGTGGTGGTTGTCAAAAAAAGTCAATTTTTGCTTTGACTCCTTCGATCATTTTTCTTTGACCCCTTCGAATCTTCCCAATCACGCGCGCCTGCGATGTGCTCGCTTGTAGTTTCATACCCCTATCTTAATGTCCGAATATATTGAATACCTTGGCGATCGGTGATTCTTTGTATCACAAAATCTCGTTTCATATCGCCAGTCACATCAAATCATCACCTTTTGAGAAAAACTTGAGATAGAAGTGTGACCATTCCACTCCAGCAAGCAATCGATTGCACAGCTGAAAATGAATTGGTGTGGATTAGGAAATTATGCGGAGCCTGAGATGGTTGAGTTGAACATTTCAGATGATCGATTCAAAGGCGTTGGATCGAGCAGTATGAAGAAGAAGTCATCGTCGCAATTAGAAAGTAGGAGGAAATCTGATGGTGGCTCTCGCCGAGAGCGATCAACGTATTCCCAAAGCAGCTCCAAAGGTAGATCTTCATCTTCGAAAGGCCGACAAAGCCCCTCGTATATGAATCCGGTCGAATCTCGAACTTCTTCGAAACCACCCAAGGCTGCGTGCGTTCAAAAGTTGGAAAAGGGATTCAATGTGGTAAGTCAAATACAGCAGGGTCTTTTGTGCAAACTGCACAATTGTTTCTTTTCTAACCATTTGTCTTAGGTTATGATCACTGACGACAGTGCAGTAAATGTCAAACTTGACCTCGATCCCAAAAACCCTCACATTCGCATTCGACCGTTGGACGAAAATGCTTTTGAACGGAATCGGTCTTCCATGGAAACCCAATTCCGTCTCCAAGACATTGCACGATTGGAAGTTGGCCGAGACAAGACAGAGAACAAGACTTCTAAGAGTAAGAAACCTGTCAGACTTTTCTCCGTTATGTTGAGGTCGAGATCGAAGCAATACCGATCATTCAACTTTGAAGCAGAGTCGGTATCTGACCGAGACACCATCATCGAGGCGATCAAAACTCTTTTGGAGCAAGCCCGTAGCTTGAGTTCAAAGCAAAAGAGAAAAACCCAAACTCAGTCTTCCCACGTTAGGTCTTCGGTGGATATTGAATTGAATCCCAGAAAATCGACCATTGAAAGGCAAAACGCCAGCGAACATGAGCGCAAAGCCACACTTGAAACCAGAAATGACAGCTACAGCACTGCTTCTGTAAGTAGAAGCTCTTCTGATGCTTCTTCCAGGGAAGAAGCCCTTTCTGCTCGTTCATCGAAAAGCGGAAGTGGAAGCAAGAGAAGTGGTCACAGTAGCGGGACCGGCCGAAGCCGTGGCAGTCGTTCGTCAAGAACAATGGCAGATGAAGATGCCTTTCGAAAGAATTCCAAGGGTGTCGTGGAAGACAAAGAATTGGCAGCAAAATTCGAAAATCATCAAGCTGCGCCCTGGTGTACTGATGACATTTGCAGTGCTGGATTCAAAGAATTCAATGCTACTGTGACTGGAATCTTCGGAGAAAACCCTGCGCTGACAAATGGATCTAAGTATAGTCGGCCCTCTGGTGCTTCAAGATCCATGACTTCGCTATTGTGGAATACTACGAAATCAGATCGACGAAAGCATCGATTGCAAAACAGAGCGGCAAACCCAAGTTCCAAAGCCAGGCGATGGAAGAATCTTCGCAACCAGATGACTTTCGAAGCCGCTGATCTTGAAAACGACATTCCGTATCTGAAGACTGTCCAATCATGTGATGATTTTGACAAGTCCAGAGAAACTCTAAAGGCTACACCCCCAAGCAATCCATTCTCAAAGAAGCGTCACAACAATGAAGATGATGTTGAACTATACTACGACAGTGATCCCGAAGATGCGAGGGAGGTCACCTTCAGGCGACTTGGAGCCAGAGGGGTGCAGGCCGCAAAGGCAAACAAAATCAAAGATGATTCGGTACTTGGAAGAACGAGACAGACCACGGCCTCAATGACTCCACTCTACAACAGAAAGATGAAAAAGGTTGATGATACTCTTATCCTCGACATCATAGAGAACTTGAAGAATCAGAAATTGACACTACTGTGGCATCCTGAGCAGACCAAGGACGGTCCCAATCAGGCCCCTGTTTGTGTCAAAGTATGGATCGAATCAGGAATCTACCTCGTTGATGGCACATTCCTGCTGCCCAAACTTACTTGGCTCCCAGTCCACGAAGCCAACGCCAGCAATTTCGTGATGAATGCAGCTATCCAGAATCCTGAAGCTGTGGATATGTTGGATGTCTGCCGCGTGAGAGAATGCGATTCTATTGACCGCAAGCTCTATCCCTATGCCGATGTGAATCGCAGTTTCATAGTTCAGACTCAAAGTGGCAGCACTCTCTTTGAGACACGATTTAAACAAGAACGCGGTCATATGGTCAATGGTCTGAAGCTCGTGATTGCTCGATTAGCGTCTCTGTTGATGCTCCGTGATTTGCGAGCTGTTGAAGAGTTCTTTGGAGGCAATTCCACCGTTCCAGGTGAGGCTCCATGGTGGGCCAAAGCAAGCGCCGAAGAATCTGAAGCCGCAGAAGGAGGAATGCCCGCATTACCCTAAGTGAATATATGATATATAGATGGTTTTAGTATATAAGACATAATTAAGCATGAAAACCTCTTACGAGACGATAGTTGATAATTTCAATATATAGTGTTGTTGTCTACTATTACTTTGTTGCTGGCTTTTCTATGCATACATTGCCTTTTTTCTTTTTCGAATTCAGATGTCTCTTTCCTCTTCCTCTGATTGGTAGTCAAGGCGTTTACTTTCATAGGATAGCTGCGGACTATTTCTCTCAGCAAGTTCTTGGTCATAGTCGGGACTTCCCCGTCCAGGAATGAGCTTCCTCATTGAGGTAATACCGAGAGGAATTCGTCCAGTGTCCGAATATGACGTAGCTTGGCTACCGGGAGTAAATACATCGCTCGCTGTATCCCCATTGCCATATCCTCTGACAGGGGTCATTTTTACGCCCATTCCATCGAGTGCACGTGGATTCACTCCCAAAATTCCAGAGGGATTGGTCATATCTCCAGACTCGGGACTTCCCGTGTCTGTGTCTTCGGTTGGTCGTGATTTGATTTCATCTCTCATTTGAGTAAACTCCTCCTCACGGCGCAACAAGTATTTTACTCTCTTTCGCAATGCCAGCCAGCCACCCGCAACCCAAACAAGAATGAGTGAGATGGTGCACAGGGCGAAGGCCACAATGATTGTCACGGTGACAAGAGTCCGTTCCTTTGTGGTGTGCTTGGCCTCTTCGTATGCAATGATACCACGATCATCCACAACCTTAACAAGCTCCGAAGATTCCATGGAAGTTGTGAAGGAGATCATATCAATATTGTACCCAATGTCAACAATCTTGTCGAGGTGTGCGAATGTAGAGTCGGTTGTATTTTTGTTCGTCAAAAACATCAACAACCCAGCCACGTCCAACATTCCCTCTTCTCCAATATTCATGACCTCTACAACTGATTCCAAAATTACATAATCGTTTCCAATCTTTTGCTTCCTTGCTTGCACGCTGGTGCTAATGATATCACTTTCGGATTTGAATGCGCTAGAGGATTCGTCGGCTAGAAGACCCGAAAAGTATAGCGTTGTGGCTTTTTCAATTGCATAAACCTCTTCCGTTTGAAATGAAACGACTTGATCCGTAGTCCAGGTGATTGACACCATCGCTGATGATTTGTAGATCTATGAGCAAGCAAAAGGAGAATCAAAATGTGAGACGGTGCGATCAAAGCTCTCGGGATGTATTCAGCTTTGAATATGTACTCACACCATATTTCTTGTCCTCTTGGCCCTTAGCTGATGAGAATAGCGCCAGGATCAAGGTTGAAAGTAGTCCGTGTCGAAGTTGCATGGTGGGTGTTTTGTTTGTTGTGCCTCCAACTCAAAAATGTGGCAAACTTTCGATTTCAAATTCAGGAAAATCGTTGGGAACATTCAAAATATACACACGTATATGATGATGTTCTGACGGTCGAATGAGTCAACTAGTGCCGAAATTTTTATCTATCATCGCATCGGCATGGCGCATAAAACGCACGGCAGTATGTACACATACCGGTACCTATGCTGACGTGTGCTGTCTCACCTGTTAGAGATTTCAGATTGGCTTCGAAGTAAAAGTAAGATCATCATCTGTCTGCCGTCAGTCATAGTTCTTTTGTTGACCTCAAATCTGAGATAAAAAAAGATCTCACATTCTCCCAACCACAGTTCGCATCATGCCGGAAGCCCAACCAAGCGAGGTGGAGGCTCCTCCTGCCCAAGAAGAGAAGGAAAGTGAAATGCAAGCGCAAGGTCCTCCTATTTTGAAGAATCTGTGTATTTTACCCCCGCGTCAAAAAGCTGGAACCTTGGAACGAAAAGAAGTGATTGACCGAGTTCCACTTCCTCCAATCCGATCTGAAGAGCCTGTTTCTTCCATTCGGGCAGCTTTGGCAGACGTTTGCGGGTATTCTCACCTTACAAACTATCGCTTTGAGTTGGAAAAGCCTCTGGACCCTAATATTCCTGGAAAGCAACCAGATGTACCCATCGTGTCCCCCTACACGGGCATCAACTCCGTCGTGTCCGTTCCAGTTGCTTTGCAGTCGTTGGACGACGAGCAGCAATCAAAGGATCATTCATTGGTTCTTGACGACTATGGAGACCTTTCAGCTTTGATGGAAATGGGCTTGCAAGATGGATCCGCCTTTCGCATTGTACTTGAACGATATGATGTAGCTCAAATTAGAGATCATGTCACTCGTCTCAGATCTTTGATTGCTGGAAATGTGCCAGCTGTTGTATCATTGGACGATGGCAGCGATGATAAAGGTACTCCAGCTGAGCCAGAAAACACTGAAGTAGCTGAGGAGAAGGCTAATGATGGGAAGAAAAATAAAGATGGTCAACCCAAAGACAAGAAGGAAGAGAAAATGAAACTGCCGACATATCCAAATGTGGGATCCACAATTGTTAACAGCAAGGATTTGAAGAACTTTTATTATCACGCATGTGGTGAAAACCCCGATCTTTACTTGGCTGACGTGTCGAAGCTTACTCCACAATTTGAAAATGGATCCAAAAAGAAGAAGGGAAAGAAAGGAAAAGGGCAGGCTCAGAACGGCAACGAAAAAGAAGCTGAGGAGGAAGTTCAAGTGGAGCGAGAAATGCGCGAGATAATTCCTAAATTGAATCGTCTTGAAGAAACGACAAAGTTGGATTGTAGCATTCGCTTCAGTGCTTTCCACCCACCACCACGCTCTCGCAAAATGTTGGGTGACCTTGCATACCTTGAAGTCAAACCCCCTGGAGAGTCAAATTCGATACACATCACCGCAATCCCAACAGGTTTCTATGTAAACAAATCGACTGATACCAAGTTTGATCCAAGTCCAGCTCCCAAGGCTTTTTTCTCGCATGAGCTGCTTGACTGCTTGTTGCAAGCATCGTCCTCATTTTTCACTGCCTGGAAGGGTGCACTAGAAGCTTCCAAAACTAGAAGCAAGTTGATGGCTAGATTAAACGCTGATGGGCACTTTGCTTGTTTGTTCCGAGTCGCAATTCGTGGGGACTTTGATGGGTACACGAGGCCCTCAATCGCTTCTGCCGATGAAGGAATCGACGCCCTGGTGCACAATCCGTCCTGGTTGGTACCAATGTCAAAAGCAGCTTTGGAATCAGAAGATTCGTGGAATAAAAATGCATCGCATTCCGCTAACTACGAAAAGACGGAAGATGATCTCGCAAACACTTTTGGCGTTGACTTTAGAAATGGAAACTCCCGAGACTGGAATGAGGAGTTGCAAATGGCTCGTGAGATGCCAGTCTCGTCCCTTGTGGAAAGAGTCGAGAGAGCAAGAGTCATTAACAAAGTTTTGAGTGACTTTGGTGAGGCTTCGCTGATGGGCATTAAGGCAATCTCAGATGGACAGATCGCACCCATGAATCCAAACGAGCCTTCGAGATCGCAGGTATTTCTTCACAACAACATATTTTTCTCGAGAGCAATTGATGCCGGCATCGAGACATTCAAAATTGCAAAGGGAGACAAAGCAGCTAGAAAGTCTGCATCCCGCGATATTCATTGCCTGGGTGCTTTGCACCGAATGGAGAAGGAAGGTTTATACACCCTTGCAACTGTGCTTCTTGATTACTTGGGAACTAGATTTGTGTGTCAGAGTATTCTTCCAGGTATTCTGAACGGCGAGAAGAGCCATTCGCTCCTGTATGGAAGTGTCGAGGCGGGATTACCGCTTTCGTGGGACAAAGAGATGCACGAAATGCTCGAAGAGACTATGGGCAAGATGTGGATTGCCAATCGTCCGCTACCACGAGAACCTTTGACAGACGAGAGAATGGCTGCAATTGGGGAAGCAAAAAGTGCATCTCCGATGCCAATCACAACTAGCGAAGAGGAGAAGAAGGAAGAGACCGCGGATCCAATTGTCAACATGTGTACGCCAATTGAAGCCAAGGGAATCAAGGGTAGCGATGAACGAAAGTACTTGCTCGACATGACTCGGTTAACCCCGAGGGATGCTAATTGGGTCGAGAAAGAAAAGGGTGGAACAGGAAACTGGGAATATCTTCAAAGTAGTTCGCCGGGCAAAAAGAGTGGCGCCATCCCCACTGGTCTCGATGACGATGAATGGACACTCGCTGTGTTGCGGCCTGAGCTCGTCAACAGCTACTCTCAATACCTCATTGGCAATTATGCCAGAGAGAAAAAGGCCAAGGGTGATGCAGAGAAAAAGGAAAAGGAGGCAGCTGAAGGTTCTGAAAAAGATGAGAAATGTGGAGAGGAATCGAGCGCAAAAGAAGCTGAGAAGGACAAGAACGAGGGGACCAAAGAGAGCCCAGACGCCAAGGACGAAAAGGATTTGCCTTCAATCAACGACGACGATCTTGATTACATCAAGTCTTTGCGACTGAACGTCAATATCTTCTTGCCTGACATAAAGTCGCTGGAAGGCATTGATGACGACGCATTTGGACAGCAGGAAAAAGATGAACAGGTTGTTCGAGACGTATCAAACTTTTTGTGGGAGAAGGTTCTGCCAGGGATAACCGCGCAGATGCGAGCAGCTACTGGGCAACAGCCTCCACACGATGGGAAGAGTTTGACAGATTTCATTCATCAAAATGGTGTCAACTGTCGATACTTGGGACGGCTTGCCGACATGGCACAGGCGGAAGAGAAGAAGGATGCCGAGGAGGCAGAACTGGCTAAGAAAGGCATGACTAGTGGCATGGCACGAAATTCGATGCCCGAGTGCTGGCTAGAGCTTTTGGAATGCGAGATGGTTGCTCGCGCTGCAAAGCATGTTCTCGACACTTACCTGACTATGAATGGTGGAATTGCCGCATCACATCCGGCCCAGACTATTGCTTCATTCTTATCGGCACTCGTTTCGTCAGGTGAGGAAAGTGCAGCACAAACTGAAAATAGGGCGGCAAAGCAAAAGGAAAACGAACCAGACGAAGATGACTATAGTGCACTGACGCTCTTTGATGCCGGTGCAATAGATGATGGAGCCATGACGATTAGAGGAAGAACAGAAATATGGACCGATATCGAGGAGGAGATTGGGCGTCGTTTCCGGTACTCGTTGACAATTTTCAACCGACCAGCCAAAGCCAATCGCGTCATGCACATACCTCTGTTGCGTCGAGTTTGTCAAAAAACTGGAGTTCGTCTTGCTGCAAAATCTTACGACACTGGCTCGAACTACTATTGTGGTAGTGGTAGAAATCTTGTTCCTTCCTACCCGATCTCTCCTCTGGACGTCGTCGACATTGTCCCCTTGATGAAACATTCCGCAGCTCACGGTGGTGGTTTCACACCTTGTGCCCCAGGAAATCCAAGCTCACTTCCACCACTCCACATTTCGCTTCCGGACGCTCGGCAAACACTCGAATCAGCCCACGTTCATCATAGTGGAAAAGCTCTTTCCCGCGCGCTTGAACTGGCACAGGAAGCATGTGCTCTCTACCAACGGGTAGCAGAATCATCAACGCACCCTGGAGTTGTGCGTTGTCTCGATCTCATGGCGAGCATTCTCTTTGAAGCAGGGGAAAATGGTCTCGCAGCGGCGAATCAAGCACGTTCACTTGGACTCTTGGTTCAAGTGAACGGCTTTGATTGTCCCGATGCCATCAATGTTCACTTGCTGTTGTTTCAGATGCTGTTCTCCGGAGGGAGGAACTACGAGGCTATCAAGCACATGCGTGCAGCTATCTTCTTGATGGAATTAATGGGTGGCCCAGGTCATATGGAGATTGTCAATGCGTACCACAAGCTTGGAAGCGTCTACCAATCAGCGAAAGAGCCACACCTGGCACTTCGTTTCTTCCAGGAGGCAGCTTCACGCAAATCGAGCGATCGATTGTTGGAATCCATGGTATCGAAGAGCTTGGGTGCTGTACTCTCCCAGCTTGGAGATTTCAAAGGAGCTCTTGACGAGGAGAAGAAGGCAAACAACGTTTTCACAAAGCTCTTGGGTAAAGACCACCAACTCACGAAACAGAGTGACCAACAGTTACAACTATTTGCAGCTGCTGCTGTGCAACAAGGAAGCAAGGCTGTGAAGGACATCAAAAGCATGGAGGAGGAAGCTGTTGCCGACGCCATCGCAAGCGAGTTGGAGGCAGAAGCAGCGGCAGAAGAAGCCAGGCAGAAGAAAAAAAGCAATGGCAAGAAAAAGAAGAAAGGAAAGAAATAGAAAGTTGTCAATATACTAGACATCCCATCCGTTTTTGGGATAGTGATGCTTTCGAAGTGCAGCGAAAGTAATAACTCTTAATACAAACATTTAACTGGACCTCATGGCCAAGTCTGCGCATGTTGTGCACCGTAGTTTCATGTATTCATCACAGTTACCGGTATGCTTCAGGTTGCCCAAGGTGCTCGAGTAGGTGGCATCGCACCGGACGCACCGGACGCTGGGATAGCCGTGGCCGCTCGAAATGTCTCAGTGGGGGCAGGTCTTTGAACCTGTGAGCTTTTCCATGTTGCAGGAAATAGCTTGGAGAAGACAAAGTGCTGCACGACTTGTAGCTTATTGAGCACTTCCCCCTGATACAATCGAATCATGCCTCGTGATACCTTGTCCCAATTGGGCATTGTTTGACTAACATCGTACAGCATTGGTGAAGCTTCGAAAAAGGGCGCTGCCTTTTTTAGTTCGCGAATATATCGAATGCAAGATAGGTAGAGAAACACATCTCCATGATCTCTTACGGTCTGTTCAAAGTTGATACAATTTGGACTCGAAAGTTCTCCTCCAAACGCCTGGCTGGATGCATGCAATTGACAAGCTCCAAAATAAAAAGGCAAGCAATGGTAATCATCTAAGCCCCAAACACCATGCGAACCTGCTGGTTCAAGTCGATAATCTGTTTGCAGCCTTCGTGTAACCTTCAAATACTGATGAAATATGGAAAGAGTAATGGCCGCAAGAGATTTTTTCGAAGGAGGCTCCCCGAAACATTTGACTTTCGACAGCACCAAAAGGAAGACCAAAAAGCTAGACTCGTGCCCCGTCCCATAATCTAATCTTATTGGTTGTCCAAAGCTGTCATGGAGATAGCAAGATAATTGTCCTATCGAAGGGTCCTCGCTGGCTGGGAATGATCCAGCAGCTGCTTCTTTTCCTCTTTGGCAAGCTCCTTCCAATGATAGATTTTCGCCTCGTGCCAACAGACAAGATGTGATTATGGCACTAGATCTTGCGAGCAACTGTTTGTGCCACTCCCGAAACGCTGGATTTCCAAATCTAATTAAAGAGAGTCGTTGTATCAAGCATGAGAAAGGATGTATGCAATCATTCCTTCTCTACCCCCAACAACCTACACCATTGCTACTTACCGAGCAGCTCTTGCATCACCAGGTGGAAACTCGTCTACCCATTCGATCATTGTTTCCAAAGATCCATGAAGACTTGCCATACTCGGAGTCAATCCCTCCAAAGGGTTCTTGGGATCATAGGCTGCCGCGCCTTCGGCACACGACTTGCCTATGGTTTCTACAAAATTCATGATTTCTTTTCTTCGATCTGATGCAGCGAAGGCGTCCATATCCACTTGGTTGAAGATATGCCGCTGTGGCACAGAGGAATCGTCATTTTCCGGTGTTATTGACATCGTTCGTTGAGGATGCCGTTGATGCCAAGAATCAGAACTCAGTCGTCAAACAGTGATGGGAACGATCGTGACATGTGCTACACTATCAGGTCGATCGCATCGGTGCCACAAGCTTCCATACGACTACTTTGACCAGCTTTGAGCTCTGCTTGACAAACACGTCTGTCGTGATGACGATGCAGAATTATGTTGGTCGTGCCGTTCGGCTTCCATCAACCCATCATCTCATATCCAAAATACCTCTGTCACCACATTTTATGCTAACTTTGACAGCATGGCAAAAACCTCCAAGGCTCACATATTGCCTGAGAGCTTTGGAATAATGCCGTTTACAGAGAGACAAATTAAAAGAAACAAGAAGCGACGGCGGCAGAGAAGTTCCACCTTGCTTTTCTTTGTCTTCATCCTTTCCACAGGACCACAGCTCGTATCCTGTTTTATTTGCCGGTCACCCCCATCGGGAGCTTTCAGTCGACATCAAAGTAGGGCATTTCAAGCAGTAAGGAATAATCCCGGGAGTGGCGATAAGAGTGGTGACTCAAGGCAGCACCCTTCTTCGAAGCGAAACGGCCGGTCCCACAAATCGATCAACAAAAGTTCGGAAAGCAAGAGCAGGGCAATAGATGCACTTTCACAACCAAACTCTGAAGGAGAAAATTCGCAATCCAAAAGAAGCAGGAATTCTAGAAAAAGCAGGCGCAAGAATCCTAGAGGGAGGTATGAAAAACCAAACGAGTCTCAATCTCCCAAAGCACCACTGAAAGCAAAACAAAAACAACCAAAACCACCAAAGAAGGAAAAGAAATCTGAGTCTTTGGATTCGTTACTGCTCCCACCACTTTCAGATCCATCCAAGAGTGCAATAGGAAAGGCAGAAGATCCATTGCAAGGTGGCCTCTCTTCTTGGGAAGATTTTCTTTCTGTCGGGAATGAACGAACGAAAGAATCATCACCAAATTTACCAAAATATTCCAAACCGAAGAGTCCCAATAATAAAGGTAGACGGCAAGAGGATGGCAAAGGGGCGGAAAAGTTTCTTCCCTCGGATGGCGGTGTCACACAAGAGCTTCCTGCGATTTCTGACTTGTTTCCAACAGGCATGTATACAAAAGCAAAATCCTTGAAAGGGAAAGATGTGGAAATTGATACATCCCCCCCTTCATTAGACGGAGTACTACCTGTGAGTGATCTCTTTTACCGTTCTTCCCAGTCTATGAACGACGATGATGACTTTGCACATGAAGATGATGAATTGCCATTCTCAGCAGAACAATCCGACCAGCTGACTACTGTCCACAACAAGATCAAAGTACGGCGGAACAAAGCCAAGGGCGGTGGTGCCAGATCACGGGACAAAATGAAGCGTAAATCATATAAGCATAGAAGAATGGTCCGGCGTGGAATGGAAATGTTGGTTGGTGGAGTCCCAATCAATGCCGATCCTCCGCAGCGCTACATGGATCTCGTCTACAATGCAAAAGCGGTCAACTGGAGTGAAACTGTGGTGACCAATTCTCGAGACTTTGGGCCGATCTTCCATTCGTCCAGCGTAGCACAGCTATCAGATGTGGAAAGGGGCTTGTTTTGTGAGCACTTTGTGAAAAAGACAATGAAATGGGATGTGTGCCCAGACGACCTGATGAGCATCGCAAATGACCACCTTTTGAATAGACCTGACGTCGATGACCAAGACTTAAAAGATGGAGCGGATGATTCAGACACAGCCAAATCGAGCTCGTACAATGATGCTCGTGAGGAAAAAGCTGACAATTGGGTGAACGCGGAAAGAACAGAAACGTCAACTGGTAACTTTGGCACGTTGACGAGCTTCAAAAATTCTCTTGGTGCTGACGCTAAGCACCTTGATCCCAACGGTGACCCTCGTCTTGGTGGAGAAATTGTGTTTTCGATTGGTGTCTCTAGCGATGATTTGCAAACTTGCACACCCGCTGATGCCCCTGTTTTGGAGCGAGTGTTGGCAAAGGGTATTGTCGATGCAATAGACTTGACAGGATTTGAAGTCAGTTTTGAGAGTCTTGATTTCAAGGACAGGGAAGATGGGGCAACGCGAATTTCAGGAAGTTTTGTGCTGTCGTTGGAGGGCTCGGAATCAATGACGCCCAGAGAAATGGAGAAGAGAGCAGGGCAAATCAACAATGCCCTAGCTCTTGCGATGGACGAAGGAGATGTTCAGCTTGCCATGGCTGCTGCCGCAAAAGAAGAATCAGGATGGCCTGAGGAGATCCGTAACCGAGTAGTGGAAGAGTTTCTCTTTGATGACGATGACGGAGATGGTCCCCTCTATCAGTACGGTGAAGGATCCGATGAAGAATCCGATGAAGAATCCGAAGAAGAAGGAGTCGGCGAGAAGAAGGCAGAGCTTTCGTCAACAGCCAGAGCCAAGAAGGAATCCAGCGGACCAAGCTCTTTGGACGTGACAAATGACATAAGGGATACCTATGACGGACCGTTTGGAATGCCTGGAAGCAAGACATACAATGCCGATGATTTGTTCCTAGGGGGTGGAAATGATGGAGTGTTTTGGAATTATTCGGAGGAAAATATTCAAGGCGCACCATACGGAGGGCAACTTGGTTTGAGACTAGTGGACGCAGTTACACAGCGGGCAACAGAACGACAACCAAGGGTGATTGCAATTGGTGATGTCCATGGTTGTATTGATGAATTACAAGCTTTGTTACGAAAATGTGATTATCGACCTGGGGATCTGGTTGTTTTCTTGGGTGATCTGGTCAGTAAGGGTCCTGACAGTATCTCTGTCGTCCAAATGGCACGAGAGATTGGTGCAATCGGTGTCCGGGGTAACCATGATTTCGAAGTTGTGCGATGGCATCAGGCGATCAAATCTGGGGTTGACCCACCAGTGGTTGGTTCCGAACACTTCCACATTGCTTCGTGCTTGAGCAACGCAGACATGAAGTGGATGTATAGTCTACCTTGGTACATCTCGAGCAAAGAGCTTAGCACTCTATTTGTTCATGCTGGTTTTGTGTCTGGGATTCGATTGGGCAAACAAAATCCTCGTCTGATGATGAACATGAGAAGTATACTTCCTGATGGAACTGTGACCTCTAAGTTCTTCAACAACTGGCCTTGGGCTAGACTCTGGGATGGACCACAGACAGTCTTGTTTGGACATGATGCGGATAGAGGTTTGCAACAATACGAACATGCGGTTGGTTTGGACACGGGTTGTGTCTATGGTGGACGTCTCACAGCCTGCATTCTACCAGAAAAGAGGCTTGTGAGTGTTAGTGCGAAGCGAGAATACTTCAAGTATCGTCGAAAGCACTACGATTAAAGCTAAAACAACATACCGGTACTGTAGAATAGAGGTCGTTTTTCGAAGAAAGTCGGAGTGTGTCTTCGGCCTTTGTCCGTGGCGCCAATCAAGTGAATTTGAAAAAGATTGTTGACATCCATCGTGTACAAACGTTCGTGTCTTCGAGTCATTGACGTCAGTCAACCGAACCAAAGTGGAAAAACAACCTGTTCTCATTCACCTCAGGTTTCGGAATTCTCGTCCATAGTACCATGTCTACCTACGTGAATACAGATTCAGAAAAAGAACATTTTGAAATTACGAAAAGAATCTTTGAACTTCAGTCTACACGTCTTTCGAAACAGAAGAAGAAGAATCATCGCCAATCTGATTCATTATCAATCAACGCAACTGTTTGGCACAACAACGAAAATATTCACCATGCAGGCCAATGAATCTGAGGATTACGTAATTGTAGACTTTGACTTGAAGAGTCTTGAAGGCAAGGACAATCTTGCCGACGATGATTCGTATGACTACTGTGACGATTTGAACTCGGTTCATTCGAGCGGCGAACATTCGAATGCATCGGATTCTGAAGCTGAGAATAGCGTGCTGAGCGTCCCTTCTGGTCTATTAAAGGAGCTGGATGAGGCTCACGCTGCAGCAAAACTAGCAATCCCACAGGACTCTGAGGATGTCACGACTGAGAGTTCTCAATCTGTCACGAATTCTGCTACAGAAGAAAACAACAAACAGACTAGTGCTCCGGAACAGGAGGAACAGAAGGCTCCACAGCCAAGTGTGCCTGTAAAGAGCGCACCTCTAAGCCGCATTTCGAACAAGAAACGCCGCAAACAAATGAAACTGATGAAAAAGGCCATGGCAGCCGCTAAGGCATCCAAAGCACTGTCGGAGAAGGCTACTGCAATGGCTACCTCTTCATCAGTAACGTCTACAAGCAAACCGGTATCAAACGCCAAAAAGATGGCGAGAAAGGGCCGATCTAAGCGTGTTCACCCGCACGTCGCTTGTGCATATGAGGAAATCGCAGCTTACCACAATGAGGTCCAAATGATGGGCCCAAGAGTGTAACGGTGCACCTCTCAATTGGGCGACCTATAGTCGCTCCAAACGCAATTTCTGGAAGGAGTACCTGCAATATGTACAGATCTTCCAGTCTTTCTACTTCTACTACTACTTCTACTAGGCTACTACAAACAAAAAAACAAAAAAAAGAGATGGCAATCTACTTCAAAACCAGAAAAATTGAAAAAATGAACAAAAAATCCCAGAAAAAATTTGTGTTCTCCAACACGTCCCAAACGATGTGTAAGGCCTAACTGATTCCAAGAGCAGGAGCATTCGCGCTACTTGCGTACTAACTATCTAGAATAGAGTATACCTTGGGTCCATTTACCAGTGTCCTTGCATCAGCGGAAGAAACGAAACTTTCTTTCGGATAACATACTATACCGCATAACAATAGAAATAGAAATAGAAATAAATTTTAAATTATACCTGACCTAATTCGTTGGCACTCGTTGTTGTTGAATATATATCAGTAACACAACACGACTGCCATTGTGACAACACATCTCATTGATTGACACGAGCATTCCAGGTACGACCCACTCACAATATCTTTTGGAATGCTGACGACACATGGAGCACCCTCGTACGACTTGTACGGGACAGTCCGTCTGTCATCCGCAACACGTATCTTCTTACTCATTCCATTTTCCTCCCCGAACTTTTTTGGATGAGCTGTCACGAATTTGCAGATGTCAAACCAGCGGCTCGTCTATCGATGTACAATTTGTGGCAAGTTATAATATTAATTTCTGCTGTTGATTGAATGTTTTACTCCACTGAAGTAAAAAAGTGCGTTCCACATGGGTAGAAACTTGGGATAGGGGTTGTGCTTGTTGTACATATTGCCGTTCGATTCTTGTCTGAATCAATCCATCGTTCAATTGTTCCATTGCATCCAATGATTTCTCACACCATTTCTTCTCGTTCCACATCAACAGGCTCCTTTTGAGCATGACCATGATGGCATTTGGGCTGTCCATTTCCAGAGGTACCTCTGTTACCGCCTTTTCCTTTGCCGCATTCTCACGTGCCCCCACTACGGCTGCCCGTCGACAATTCTCAACCTTTGGATACCGCCGGACTGGAGCCCTCCAAAGCACCATGGAGGCTGTGGCTGATTTAACCAAGTCCATGGGAGTCGAGCATCCTGCATACGAGATTGTTAAGAATGATTTGGTAGAAGAGTATGGTGCTGCAACCACTCTGTACCGTCATAAGAAGTCTGGAGCTGAATTGTTGAGCGTGTCCACTGATGACGACAACAAGGTCTTTGGAATCACTTTCCGTACTCCTCCAGAAGATTCTACAGGTGTTCCTCACATTCTTGAACATTCTGTTCTCTGTGGAAGTCGAAAGTACAAGACCAAGGATCCATTCGTCCAACTTCTTCAAGGATCCTTGCAAACATTTTTGAATGCATTCACTTATCCAGATCGTACTTGTTACGTCGTTGCAAGTCAAAACGAGAAGGACTTTTACAACTTGATCAATGTTTACGCTGATGCCGTTTTCCATCCACGAGCAATCAACGATCCCAATGTCCATGCACAAGAAGGATGGCACTTGGAGCTTGAGAACAAGGAAGACCCATTGATTTACAAAGGTGTCGTTTACAACGAAATGAAGGGAGTTTACTCTTCCTCTGATTCTCGTCTTAGTAGAGCATCCCAGCGATCCATCTTCCCCGACACTACATACGGCGTTGACAGTGGCGGTGACCCAAAGGTGATCCCCGAACTTTCCTTCGAACAATTCGCTGACTTCCACGCCAAGTTTTACCACCCAACAAACTCTCGAATCTACTTCTCTGGAGACGACGATGTCTATGCCCGCCTTGATATCATGGATGAATACTTGAAGGACTTTGATGTCTCGCCTGAAAGCAAACCTGGAAGTGTCATCGATTGGCAACCTAAGGTATTCAGCGAGCCACAAAGGATTGTCGAGGCATACCCAATTGGTGAGGATCAACCTGAAACAAACATGGTCAACATCAACTGGTTGATGAATGACAAGCCCTTCACACCCGCGGAGGAAATGGCTGTTGGCATCTTGGATCACTTGCTCATGGGAACCACATCGTCAATCCTCCGAAAGACTCTTACAGAGAGTGGACTTGGAGAGTCAATCACTGGCGGTGGTCTTTCAGACGAACTTTTGCAAGCTACCTTCTCTGTTGGACTCAAGGGAGTCAAGGAAGAGGATGTCGCCAAGGTTGAGGAACTTATCCTTAGCACTCTCGAGAAGGTCTCTGAAGAAGGATTCGAATCCGAAGCCATTGCCTCGTCCATGAACACTATTGAATTCCAAATGCGCGAGTTCAACACTGGATCCTTCCCCAAGGGTCTCAGTTTCATGCTGGGAGCCATGTCCAAATGGTTGTATGACCAGTCACCAACCGAAGCCCTCAAGTTCGAGGAACCACTTGCTGAATTGAAGGCAAGAATCGAATCGTCCGGATCAGAGGTCTTCCAAGAGTTGATCAAGAAGTACTTGGTATCCAACACCCACCGTACCACTGTTGAAATGAGACCATCAAAGAGTTTGGAAACTGCAGAACTGGAGGAGGAAAAGTCTCGCCTTGCAGCCATCAAGGAGAGCATGAGTGACGAAGACCTTGAAGAGGTAATCCGGAAGACTCAAGTGTTGAAGAAGTTGCAAGCAACTGAAGATTCACCAGAGGCACGAGCTACTGTTCCAGCATTGGAACTTGAAGACCTCAAACGCGAAACCACCGAATTTCCCATTGCCGTCACCGAGAGCGAGAATGACTCTGGTGTTACAGTTATCCGTCACGAACTCGGTTCAACATCGGGCATTGCTTATGTCAAATTGGGCGTTGATCTCTCTGGATTGGATGTCGAAGATATTTCATTGCTTCCATTGTTCTCCAGAGTTATGATGGAAACCGGTGCTGGAGACTTCGATCAAGTGGAGTTGTCCCGAAAGATTGGAACTCACACTGGAGGAATCAGTGTCAGCGTTTTGACCACCGCTGTCCACCCAGACGGATCCGATGAAAGCGATATCTTGGACGGAAACTACTTGCAAACTAAGCTTATCATGAGCGGAAAGGCAACCAGCGACAAGACGACTGAATTGTTCGATCTCATGAAGATGATCTTGACAGATGCCCGTCTGGATTCTCAATCACGTGTGATTGAAATGCTGAAGGAGAGCAAGTCTAGAAGAGAATCTGCAATTATCGGAAGGTAAGAAATTCAGCAAAGCCCGGAGAATGTCTTTGAATGGATCACTAAACAATGTTGTTTCTTTCACAGTGGACACTCTGCAATCAATACTCGTATGAAGGCTCGATACCGTGTTGGCGGCTACGTTGACGAAATGATGGGAGGCATCAGTCAATTGGAGACGTTGAAAGAACTCCTGAAGCAGGCCGAGGAAGACTGGCCAACTTTGCTAGCTCGATTGGAACGCATCCGAAACACAATTCTTGACCAAGAATCATGCCGAAGTGGAATGTTCTTTGATATTACCGGTGATACATCTGTGCAATCCAAGATTGAGGACAGCGTCCACAAGTTCCTTGACGAACTCCCAGGTGATGCCAACGGCAAGAAGCTCCAAAACTTTTACAAGGAACAACACCCATGGGTTGAGCCAATCAAGAAGCTCATGGCTGAATTGGCACCGATCGAAGATGAAGGATTCATTGTTCCAACACAAGTTTCCTACGTCGGAAAGTCAGGCCTTGCCTACGAAGAGGGTGAACAAGCGAGTGGAGCCGCTCAAGTTGTCGCTCGCTTTTTGCGAACCGGATATTTGTGGGACCGTGTCCGGGTGATGGGTGGTGCCTACGGAGGTTTCTGCACCTTTTCACCGTACTCTGGGTTCTTCTCCTACCTGTCCTACCGTGATCCTAACCTATCTAAGACTCTTGATGTTTACGATGAAGCCGCAGACGCTGTGATTGCGGCTGCTGAACAACTCAAGAAGGACCCCGATGCATTGTCGCAAGCCATCATCGGTACTATCGGGGATATGGATGGAGCTATGAGCCCAGACCAAAAGGGATACACTTCACTTACAAGATGGCTGGTTAATGAAAGCGCGGAATATAGACAGAAGTTCCGTGATCAAATTTTGGATACCAAGCCTGAGGACTTCCGAGAATTCGGTGAGAGACTCAAGAACTTGAAGCAATCATCTGTCGCTGTTGTGAGCTCCAAGGGTGAATTCGACAAAGCCAAGGAAGACGGCAAGGTGATGAAAATGAAGAATATCGTTTAAATACAGACTCTTGAATAGACCAAGCTAATCATAGTAAAATATGCTACAGAGAACATATCATTGTTTTGCAAAAATACTAGATCGCGAGGCTCTTAGTCTTCTCTGGATTTTTCCATCCCGCAGCAAGCATTTGATGAAGCTAAGGAAGATGGCAAGGTGATGAAATTGAAGAACATATTTCAATCTATTGCTTGCGTACGGTAGACCACACCACGAATCATAATAACATCAAGCTATCAAAACTAGTAATCTAAAATGCACAACGAATGTTTTGGTATCAGCACAAATGTTTGGATATTTTAAAAGTCGCTCTTGCATATTCATCGCTGTTTCAAGTACTGAAGCTTCGTGCGATAAAGCCAAGGAAGACGCCAAGGTGATGAGAAAGACAAATATCTTTACAAAACCAGTTTTCTCCACACTGGCAGAGCTAGATTGGTTTGCCAATTTTGGGTGTCTCGTGCAGAAAAGATGAGGTTGGGAAGCTCATGTAGGTTCTACGCTATCCTAGTACTTTAACGCGTCAAACAACGCGCGTGGTAGAAACAATACGTAGAAAACCTTGCGGAACGGTTCAATTTCGGCTTGCAGCCGCGGATGCACTATTGAAAAACAACCAGCAACATTGACGGCCAGCTTGCGAGACTGACGATGAATGAGATAGAGGAAGCCCAACATAATGGGTTACCTCAACATCAAGTCAGTCAGCAGCCGCCAGCCATATATGGATATCCGGTAAATCCCTCATGGGTTCCGCATCCGTCGCTATCCGCACCTCAGATGCATCCAGCGCAAGGGTGAGTTCAACTTCGTCGCATCGCGATTTCCGATAGATTTCGATATTTTCTCCAATTTCGAGACAGAGTAATCAAATGTGTATCGGTCGCTGTACGGACTGCCTCGTCACAATGTGCAGATCTTGGCTTGACATTATACTCCGCCGGCTCGTTTATTTATTGAAATGTATTTTTCCTGGTCCAACTGTTAAACATCCAACGCTTTCGCTAAATAACGGAAAACGGAGATCGTGTTCCTGTCGGTTCGGTTCACTCAATCATATCTCGTGATTTCGAGGCTGCCTGTGGCTCAGCGCCGCCGGTGAGAAGCATAGCGTGGCTGACGAAAGACTTTTTCGAGGCTGCCTGTTGCCACTTTGTACAGGTATTCGTTTACTAACCGAGCGTATCAAACATCCTCTTCGCATACCTCCTACACCTTGGGATTATTGTTGGGATCCCGCAGATACCCTCATCCCATGCAAAACATGGAAGGGGTTCCTCTACCGCCTGGAATTCCAGGCTTAGGAGGGTCTACAGATCCACTGGAGGCAGTTTTGGGGCCTTTCCCTTGTACTAGGCTCCGGAATCTGCCGTTTGATACCACAGTGGAAGATCTTTTGGTGTTTTTCCAAGGGCTTGTGGTCATAGACTTGATTCTGATTGGATCCGGCGAAGCGTATATTGTATTTGCCAATCCAATGGATTTCCAAATGGCGCTTCAGCGGTAAGTTATGCGTGCCATCACTCTCATGTGTTGTGGATGTCTCGTTTTTCAGCAAATCTGACTTGCTCGGTCATTATAATTCTATTTTTGCAGTGACCGGCAGACAATTAGAAGAACATACATTGAAATTTCGCCTGCATCGAGATCGGATTACTATGATGCTGTGTCTCGGGTACGTGTTGAAAATTACCTAAAGATTTTTTCAATGGCCTCTTTTCAGGGACTGACTTATTGTTTTCTTTTCCTTTTTTTCAGCAACACTGGCAAGAACAGCCACGAGATGGAATGCTTATATCGGGCGAAGGCAGATCCGGGGACGATGGCTCGCAACTGGGATTGGAGGGTCTATGGGGAGCATCAGCAGCATCTGCTCCTGTTCAATCTTTAGCAGGGCAGCAAATGCCGAAACTTGGTGGCAGTCGTGGAGGACCATTGGGTCTCGCTGTAAGCGGTGGCAGTCGTGGAGGACCGGGACGAGGAGTTGGAGGGAATGCTCCCCCTAGGAGAACCGGAGGAGGCATCCAGATTGGTGAACATACTGGTTTCCTGCGCATGAGGGGCCTTCCATTTAGTGCGACCAAAGATGATATTGCAAAATTCTTTGCAATCTACAACCCTGTGCTGGACAGTATTGTATTGACTTATCGGAGTGACGGTAGAGCTACTGGTGAAGCTTATGTTGCGTTTGAGTCACCGGATGCATCGAGAAATGCCATGGATCTTCACAGGAAATCTATGGGTAGCAGATACATTGAGTTGTTTTTGAGTAATAAGGAGGAACACGGGCGAGCCTTGGCGCGTTTTGGCAATCGCTAAGAGCTTGCTCCCTCCCGGATGTTCAATGTATATTATATTCCACTCGTGTTCTGCCGACAGACGCCCTTGTCTGGCAGTTGAGGATCGTATTGAGATTGTAGCGACAAAACGATATCCTTGGAGGAATCTTTTTATGTCGTTGCTGTTGGAGGTACGATCTGTAGACAAATAGACAACCGCTGCCAATAATGCCCTAGATCTGTGGATTATTTTGAGTCGCTATTTTTCCCTTTTTTATTTTGTGTCATCTCCTTTATTTTGATAGTTTTGGATCTTCGAAGAATCTTGCTGTAATGGGACTCACTGGAAGCATGAGAAACGATTGCGGGACAAGCAAAGCAGGTAGCTGGACACCACCTTTCTAGAGGAACCCATTGATGCTCTACTGTAGTTTCTCTTTTATTCGTCTATCTCCATCGATCAACTCGTGGTCATGTTGGGCTTTTGCCATCCTCTCTTGCTTCTAGAGTACTGCATCAAGAAGCACCAGTGCTGGTTAGAAACCCCCAAACAGTGCTCCAACCAATGCAAATCCAATTGACATCCCAAATCCCGCGAGAGCGTAGGATCCCATGGTGGATCCAATAGATTGCTGGTTCTGCCTCGATGGTTCAAACGCCATTTGCTGACGCTCCTGGATTTGTTGTTGCTGTTCTTGTTGTTGTTGGGCGGTCAATGCACGATGGTGTGATACTTCTGCTGGAAGTCTCTTCTTTCGTGGATCACGAACGATTGTTCTTGGTTTATTCTTGGATAGAACGACGAGGCTTTTTCGAAACATGGCTCTGCTGTGGAGTGTATCCCTGTTGATGAGAAAGGAGTCAGGTAAGTGAGAGGTGAGAGTCAGTTGATCGATCGATGCGATGCGATCGATGTGACTTGAAATTCGATTCTTACGAGTCATCTCGACGGAAGATTTTCAAAAGTTGAAGGTGATGTGGGGTATGACGTCATACGGCTTCTTCTTCCCCAAGTGCCCTACGTAAGCAGCTGTAGGTAGGCACGGTACTCAGCATTCTGATGATTCAATCCCATCACTCTTTAGGCATAGTCTGCTCGTCGTCTTCTTGTGATGGCACGGCCCCTTTTCTCCTCATTTTTAAAAATTGGTTTACCGGTACATTTTCCACGCTGTGTACGAATCAGACTAGCCGTTTCAAGGGGATTTGCCCTCGCTCAGTAAGATTTCAGGGGATGACTACAGACTTATTGGCGCAGGTTTGACGTTTGAAGAATCTGGCGATGGCTTCTTGTCGCCAAGTCTGATGGATGGTCAGACAACCATTCATTCAACCACCAATGTTTCTACGAGCCGTTTGGTACGCAGCTTCAAATGTCAAGTTGGAGTTGGAGGCAGCCGAGAATATCGTCGGAAGCTTTGGAATTCAAAACAAACCCCATTACGTTACACTGTGACCAAATATAATAATTCACAGTAGCTCAATACTCTGATACAGCAATGAAGATCCCACGAGCTGCCCTCATTGCTGTCTTGTCGGCTACAAGCGCAGCAGCGTTTACGACGCCATCACATCAGTTGGCTTCCAGACGCACATCGTTGGCCAGCACCTTTCAAGATGTTGAAAGAAATAACAAGGTCGAAATCGTTGAACCAGAACCCCAAACAGCAGCGCCTCCAACGCCGAGGCCTGTCCTAGAAGCAAAGGCTTCCAGAAAGACTAGAGCGGCAATTAGCGATATGTTTAAGCAATACGAGAACCAATCTGGTGCTGCCATTGTGTATTCCAAGCTTTTGGAACACGGTGTCGAAGTCGTGAATGGGTACTCTGGAGGTGCCGTCCTTCCTCTTCTGGATCAATTCCACTTGGACAACCCAAGACACCACGAAGCTGGATACAAACCCATTAAGTGGATCACAAATTCGAACGAGGCTTCTGCCGGACACATTGCCGAAGGATACGCCAAGTCCATGCCGATCAACGGTCCACACAAACCCTGCGGTGTTGCCGTTGCTACTTCTGGACCAGGTGTGACCAATCTTATCACTCCTTTGCAGGATGCTATTTGCGATGGTGTCCCCATGGTTGTTCTTTGTGGACAAGCAGCTACCACTGCACCAGAAGATGCCTTTCAATTCGCACCAGCCGTTGGATTGACATCTCCCTGCACCAAGTGGAGTTATCAAATCAAATCCGCTGCCGAAATTCCATTCGTCATGGACTATGCTTTCTACATTGCTAGAAACGGTCGTCCTGGACCTGTCTTTGTTGATCTGCCAAAGGATCTTCAAAACCAAATCTTGGACCGGGATCTCATCGAGGCTTACATAGACAATTCTTTGCCAGAGGCACCAAGTGATGCCATTGGCATGGCCAGTTTGAAGACTGAGACTCGTCCCAATGGAGAGCTTTTCAAGGCTGTTCGATTGGGATATGAGAGCAACGGTCTCTCCTTTGATGTCACTGAAAAGGATGGCGCCTACAAGATGGAGCCATTTTCTTCGAAAAACGGTTCTTTCAACGATGACCACCACCCCACCAACCGTGTTTACTGGACTTCGAATGCTCTTTCTGGTGAACCCGAAAAGGTCACCAAGGAGGGAGACCTCAGTTTGAAGGATCAGGTCAGTAAAGACATGATCAATTTCATCAAAAGAGCAAAGAAGCCCGTTATCATTGCTGGACAAGGTTGCAATGACAGCGCTGAGGAACTCATGGAATTCGCCGAAAAGCTTCAAATTCCCGTCACCACTACCCTACATGGAATGGGATGCTTCGATGAGAGACATCCTCTTGCTTTGAACATGCTTGGTATGCACGGTCACCCAACCCCCAACTTTATGGTTCAAGAGGCGGACCTCATCATCTGTATTGGATCTCGATTCGATGATCGTATCACTGGAAGAATGCCTGACTTTGTTCCCGGCGCCAGAAAGGCTGCTGAGCTTGGTGTTGGAGGAATCATCCACGTTGATGTTCGTATTACCGAAAGGGCCAAGCAAATTGAACCTCACTTCTTTGTCCACTCCACTGGAAAGAACTTCTTGACCACCATGAATAAGGCACTGAATGAGAGCGAGGACTTGCAAATTCAAACAACCGATTGGGTTGCGAAGCAAAAGAAATTGGAAGCCGAATATCCCATTACCATCCCCAAATTCAAACCTGAGACATACACCAAGATTGATGAGAATGGAAATGAGCTAACCGCGACAAGAACAATGATGTCAGCGCAACGCGTTGTTCAAGAGCTTGACAAACAGCTTCTTGCTGCAGGCAAGATGGATGATGCCATCTTCACTACAGGTGTTGGTATCCACCAGATGGTTGCTGCACAGCTTATCACGTGGACGCAACCGCGACAAATGCTGAGTAGCGGCTCTTTGGGAACTATGGGAGTCGCTTTGGGATACTGCATTGGAGCGAAGCTAGCTAACTGCGGCAAGATTACTATTGCCGTCGATGGTGATGGCTCCTTCAACATGACGTTTACGGAATTGAAGACCGTTGCGGAGCAAAAAATCCCTATCAAGATTATGATTCTCGACAACGAGGGTCAAATGATGGTGGAATACTGGCAACGCTTGTTCCACGATGGTCGATACTTGGCTGTTCGTAACGAGAACCCTGACTACGTCACTCTGGCCAAGGCGTTTGGAATTAAGTCTGTCTACTGTGACAATGAAGACGACATCGAAGAGAAGATGAAGGAGTTCTTGTTTGCGGATCCCGACGAGCCCGTCTTGTTCCACGTTCGCATCAACCGAACTCCATGCTTGCCTCTTGTTGCTCCAGGCCAACCTTTGGATGACATGATTCTAACGGACATTGACGTCGATGTTGACCAATCAGCAGCTCCCAGTTAAGATGCTACCCCACTGAACCAAAAATAGATATACGAACACACTTTTGCATATCGCCAGCGTTCGTGATGTACATTAGCAAGCGATCCAAATATTGAAAAATGCAATCAAAATTTCCTTTAGAGAAACACTTTTACCCCAAATCACATTATTGTTCTGTTACAAGCTAGTCTAAAATGGACTTCTTTCTCCCGACATTTATTTCCGCAAGGCTACATTTTCTTCTTGCAACCGCCGGTTTTCTTCTGTCAACCGTTCAATGGTGGCAGCTTGTGCTGACATTACGGTGGTGAGTTCTTGCGACTGTTGATGAAATTGATTAATCATGTCCATATGAAGGTTTCGCATTGCTTCTTCCATGTCATCTCTTAGGTTTTCGACTTCATCTTGAACGATGTCCCGAACGTCATCCTAAGTGGCAGGCCTGTTAGTGAATGGAGACTAATGGAAATAAGCGATTGCGCATGTTGAACTTACAAGCTGAATCGTCCCTGTGTCCGAAGACTTTTTCGCATCTTCGTTTTCTGGGACTCCACCAGCGATGCTTGGATCTCGAATATTTGAGGCACCTGAAATGCTTGGATCTCGCGGTATACTAGTTGGCCTGTATTCTTGGAAAGGCATTTGACTCGACTGAGGCTGTGGCTCTCTTGCCGGGCTGATTTGCTGTGAACTGTAGCCCATAAGCGACGAAGGCTCGGAACTGAATGTGTCTCTCTGCCGAGGTAAGGAATTTGATATGACTTCAGTTTTGACGGTTTGTCGGCTAGGTGTAGTGCTCGCGCTTTGTTTTCGCTCCAAATTCATGCCTAGTGTATTTGACAATGGAGTCGTCATCGACGTTGTCTTGTCCCTTTTCGGTTTTGGAATGGGTGCGAATTGCAGAGACGTCACAGAATGTTGCACTGGCATCGTTGCCAAGGGTTCGATCTGTCGCAAATCATGAACAAGGACATCACCAGAAGCAGTCCCGACTGCACAATTGATCCCACCAGCATGCATGGCAAGGGACGTTATCGGTGACGACAGAGAGGCAAGTTCTTGGATCGTTTCGCCCGTTCGAATGTCAAAAAATTGAAGCGACCCATCGGCCGAGGCAGCTGACAGCAATTGGGAGTTGACCGCCGAAAACGAAAGTCCAGTGATCTTGCCCGAGAACCGGCGGTCTAAAGTCAAGAGTGGGGAAGATGAATCGGATTGTCGGTAGGTGTCATACACAAAAATACTGCCGTCATTGGTTCCAATTGCGGTCTTTTGTACTTCCAATGGCGAGGTGTGACATCTCGTAAAAGTCAAGTGACTAGACTGCGGAGAAATGTTGCCACTTAAAGTTGCATCTTTCAGATTAAAAATAGAGAGGAACTCGCTAGTAAGCGAATGGATAAATTTATCGGATGGATCCACGGCCACTTGCAATGATGGATAACCATCATGAAAAAACTCTCGGACCCTCATTCTCTTCTTCAAGTCCCACAAACAAACAGCACCGCTATTGTCACCAACGGCGATGTACCTCGACTTTCCTCCAAAGGCAATAGAGGTACCACTGGCGGGCGGCCGACCCCAATTCAAGTCGTGTTGAAGGGAATCCACACGGTTGCCCGTATCGGCCACTGTCAAGACGATATTGTTGCGCGAGTCCATGGCACTGGAAGCCTTTGAAATGGTCGCGATTACTATTGTGAAGAAATTGAAGAGTAGAAGGTTAGGAATATTATTAGATTTCCGCCAAAGAAGCGACAGCCGATGCAATATAGCTCTCGTTTTACTATACCTTGCGCATTGTGATTCCAAGCAATGTCGGCAATGGGTGTCTCGCCACAAGGGTGTAAAGCTTGGGGTTTAGACCCGTTTTCCAGGCATTTCCAAGCTGTGACAATAGGTCCAGAGACAACCACGAGGGATGGAGAATAGATGGTCGAAGACGCCATTGTTGCTGCTGTCGGGAAGGAGAGGTACTACGATACGACAGTCGGCATTATTATACTGTATTGGCTCAGTTTGATTTTTTAATTTCAATTGGCTCATTGAGGGGAAGGGGACAAAACAATGTCTTCAAAAGGGGAACTTAAAAAGAGCTAACAAAGTTCCGATTGATGGCCACAAATCAAAAATTCATTCTCGTCCCAAAATGTTGTTCAAGTTCTTCTATTGAATGAACTGAGTGTGAAACACACAGCTGATGGATAGATTAACAACGGCAATCCTCGCTGCCATCGCATGTATAACAGCTGTATCTTGGAACGTATCTTCTTTTGTTCCAAGCCAATTTCTTCTCAACAAGGCAAATGGTAGTAGTTGTGCTTCAATAATAAGAATGGCTGTCAGTCCAGAGGACCTGTTTGCGTCTCCTACACCAAATAACAAAAAGAAGAAAAAGAACAAGTATGCAAAGTTCTCAAAAGCGGACAAGATCGAAAAAGATCCCCTAGAACAACTGATTGAAGAGTCAGAGGAGAAAGTAAAGGCTATCGAAACAGAAGCAGCGAGCAAACGAATAAAGGTCGTTCCAGTTTCACCAGAAGCAGACAAGAGACTTGAGTTTCCAAACAACAAAGACATTGATCCTTATGATCCTACCACATTTGGATATATTGAAATTGGAACGGTCCAAGGAGCTCATGGCGTTCATGGGTGGGTCAAAGTCCAAGGGTATACGGATTTTCCAGAACGATTGACCAAACCTGGAATGCCATTACATTACAAACCCGTTCGGAAACGGGCTCCTAGAAAGATTACATTGGCAGCTGGAAAAGAGACAGGAATGGATGCTTTTTTGGTCCAATTTCAAGGGGTCTACAACCGAACGGAAGCGGAGAAACTAAAAGGAGCTTCAATATATTATGCTACTCAACAAGATTCTGTTGTTCAAGAGGACGATCTGATTGTATCCGATCTGGTTGGGCTAGACGTTTATACTGATGAAGAAGAAACGTTCGTTGGCATTGTGAAGGGGATCGTCTTGGCCGAAGAAATGTGTGCTGTTCCAGGTTTGGGCCAAGATATGCTAGAGGTGGCCATACACAAATCCAAGAGCGACCAACGAACTGGTAGACCGGTTCCAGACGATTTGGTATTGATTCCATTTGTACCTGAGATTGTACCAAAGGTCGATTTGAAAGAGAGAAAGATTGTCATTGACCCTCCAGCAGGACTCCTAGATTTGACATACATTAGGGAAGAAAGGGTTGTCCTCAAGGGGTTGCTGCCGCCGGCTAAGACTAATTGAGAAGGCAAGCGAGAGACTCCTCTGTGATTCAGCGAAGGCTAGCAATATTATAGAGCATAATCAAAAACTTTGCAGAGACTTTCGGGGAGCTTTGCACATGATACTTCGTCCATTTCTTTCTCGATTGGCAACTCAATCAATACGAAATTGCCATCGTCTTGTTCTCCCTCGACTCTGGTTACTTGTTCTGCCTGGCTCTTTTCCTTCGCTGCTGCTTCTACTCGCTTGTCACGCGATTCTTCAATTGCTTTTATCGTTGATTGATAAGCATTGAAAAGCTCTGTGGCGACAGGTACTTGATTGGCAAAAATCAAGAACTGTAACGTTTCGGCAACACAAAAAGCATATTCATCCTTTGGACAACATAATCGAAGGGTTTGCACAAGGCCATTCAACTCCTCAATGCTTCCTGGTTTTCGCTTCGGTTTCCTCTTCTTCTTTTGCTTCTTCTTTTTTCCCTTGTTGAACTTGGAACGGTGGCGATTGATTCCATCATCGCCTGTCATTGTAAATGTCGTGGCCGTTTTTACACTGATAACACTGGAAACGTTGCTAGCCATACTAGAGCCACTCATATCACTTCGCAAACTCATGTTCGAGTATTGGGAAGCAACCGAAAAGAGACTGCCAGTGTCGTCCTGCTCGTCGTCCAAGTCTGGACCTGCAACAAAAATGTTTTTCTTCCGCAAGTTCAAGACAGTCGCATATTGCTCTGATGCCGCGGCAAATGAATTGGATTTGTCCTCAAAGTCTTCGATTGCAGTATACGCATAGGCAATTGCTGCGTCGGTGCACTTCTTAGTCAGATCTTGACGTTGGTTGAGAGTAGAAACCCGGTAAGCCTCACTCCAACAAGCCCCCTTCACCAGCATATCAACGCCTCCAATGATATCGTCTCCATAGTCCAGCAGAATTCGCGCTGCTGAAGCATAAACTTCCATTCGTTTCTTGGAAACTCCAGATTCGACATCAGCGATAATTTCTGTGGCTACTTCATGGGCTATTTGCTGGCGCTGTTCTGCTCTGAATTCGTCAACAGTTGGATTCGCATCTTCAATCTCCGTATCAACAAGCGAGAAATAGCATCTCCATTCTTTCGCTGCTCTTGCAGCGCGTTTGGCACCATCCACGCATGTTGGCGAAGTAGATAGGAAGACCGATAGGGCAGTTTGAAACTGCTGCTCTTTCATCAGGTGTTCTCCCAAGGCAACTGAGATCTCGTTTCGCTTGCCATCATTTTTGAATAGCTCCAAACCAAGCTTAAAGAGATTGTGTCCTTTGATGAGTGACAAGCAGTTCGCAAAAGAATTTCCTTTGTCTTCATTTTCTGCCTCGGGAACTTCTTCGTTGGTACTGAATGATTCGAACAGGTTTCTGAGTGCTGTTTCATATCGCTTCAATCGCACGTCAACCTCGAATCTTGCAAAGTATTGTGGAAGATCATTCAATCGTCGGAGCAAAGGAAGGTATACCTTTGGATCCATCTGAGAGTTTCGAGCGACAGCTCTTGCGATTTCAAAGTCATACATACCCAATGCCGTTTCGAACAGTAGCTCATACTCGGCCAGGAATGCCAGGTAGCGGATTGAATTTTGAGCCACATCAGTAAACAAGGGATTCTTCTTTGTTTGTGTCTCTACCTTGAGCGCATTGCTCTTGATGAGATCAAGGGCATCGTCCAGTCGTGGTGGATTCTCCTTTGCAAACGTTGAAAGCACAGGAAGTAGAAAGTGGCCTTCAGGCTTGTCGCCATTTTCTTCCATCTTGAGCATCACAGAGCGTCCTGTACGGCAGACCTGGCTGACTTTCGTCATGAAATCGAAAGAAGAACGATCTTTTCCTTCTTTGTGGTCCCTTTTGAACCATTCAGGAACAGGGAACCTCGCTTGCGCTTGCGTGTTGTCGAAGTCTCTTAGATTTGCAATGAACAAATTCAGGTGATCGATGTCGACGACTTGCAACAAGAACTCTTTGATCCCACTTTCCAGGAAAGCCCATGGATCCAGGTCAACAAAAAGATTCAAATCAACCTTGTGCTTCCGCATAATCTGGAATGCTTCACCATACTGGCCAGCAAAGATTGCAGTCATTGAATATCGAAGGACAAGGGCTCGCGGGAAAATACCCTCGAGGTTGCCGCGTGGCATTTGTAGCACGGCGGAAGGACTGGATGGCAAAATTGCGACAATCTTGGCACCTCTCTCAACGTTCCGTGGTTCGTATCCTTCTAGCAGATTGGCTTGGTCTGGCCCCATGAAAGGATCGAAACCATTGATATCGAACAAGTTCAAAAACCGAATCTGGCAACGTGATCCTGCCGTAGCATAACAGAGGAATTCATGATCCATCGATAAGAAGAGAGAAGAAGCTGAGTCGGTCAACATGATGTCATGAAAGTACAGCCTCGACTTCGAGGACAAGCCGAAAATTAGTCTCGGATGAAGTTGATCGTGCTCGTCTCCTCGCGAATATGGAGCAACATCCTTAATGGCGCAGATCCATGGACATGGCTCCAAAAGACTTTCTGCTACCGATGATGTAGTGGCAATGATTCCATCAGCGACATCGCATTCCACCATGGACCCATCCTGCATTTGTAAGAGACATCCATTTGATGTATCTGCCCAGCCGACCATTCGCAGGACACGGCCATCCAATTCTATCGAGCTGCCAATTTCCATTGATGGTTCGGTGGTATCCAGAGCACTGATTAGTATCTCGACAAGACTCTCATTTGTTTTATTCTTTTCGGCACAAGCAATTGCGGCTACACGCACTGACGAGGAGTTTTCTTCAATTACAACGTGAGACCGAAGTGACAGTTGCGATATGTCACTCGTGGATTGTACCTTCGTGGTGTTGTATGTTACTCTCCCCTTCTCGTCAGCGGTTTGATTTACCTTGACTAGGCTTCCGTCTGCCATTGTTGCAAACATGCATCCCGACTGCCGACAAAAGAATGGTTCAGAGATTGGCACGTCCAAATTGGTCTGAGACATGAACATTGGTGGCGGAATTAGGGCCTTGTGGAGTGGGGTAATGTTGAGCGAGCACCCATCAGTAACGAAGGCTACGCATTGTCCATCTTGTCCCCCTTTAATCCAAGTGGTGCTGGGATCCCATTGGACTTCGTATTCTTTCCATTCGAATGAGTTCAGACGAACCGAGAAGGTATACGGTTTTATTGCGTCAAACTTGATATTGACGACCTGTTGTCCAGGATATCTGATTTCTCGCTTTAGATACCAGTGATAATTCTTTCTGTGCCAGAGCTGAATCTTGTCTGTCCCACCCTCCTCGCGTAGCCCAACTGCCAATAGATCAGAATCCACATTCCACTCGAGAGAAGTGACAGATGTCGTTGGCAATTCTCGAAGTGCAAACTCTCTATGCCGCAAACCATTAGACTCGAAAAAGACAATCTGCTGTGTTCTCTTTCCTTTGCGCTGGACAGCGGCAAGAACCTGGGAGCACCCGGAACTTGCCCATGCCAAACCCGCATGTTGCAAATTTCGCACCAAAGATCCACTGGCGTCTTCCGCTCTTCCAATGGCATGCATGACCAAATTCTCGCGCTTATACATTCGCACTTTGCGCATGTTGTCTTCCTCATCGATACTACTGACGGCGCAAATACTTCCATCCGGTCGCCAGGCAACCGAGACCTGGGCATCGTCGTTTCCTTGGGAAGTGACGACCTTTGGAATTGTGACTTCTTCCAATACCTCAAACTGTGAGTTCATCGAGATGAGAACAGAATTCTGCTTTGCCTCATCTTCGTCATCGTCGGTTGCTGTGACAATGATGAGGACTTCCCCATCCGGGCTCCAAGCTGCTGACTCCAAACCGTAGTCGAAAACACCCACCAACTCTGTTTCACCACTGGAAGGAACCACGGAGACAATCGCGCCATTCTTGGACAAACAGACAATTTCTGGGTCATTGTACGATACATTGAACCATTTACCACCGGGCGCCAAATCCTCCAGGTTGCAAGTCCACACCACAGCACCTTCTTCCGTTGTTCTTAGAAGCATTCCATTCCGCGTCAAAACTAGGGTCTCTGATTTTTCCACATGATGCTCTTCTGAGGGGACATAACATACGTCGGCAATGTGATCCCCTTCTCCTATACCGGTCACGTCCACGCCCCTGAGACGTTCACCTAACAGGGCAAGATTCTCCATGTGATGGGTTTTGATTTTGTGTTTGGTTGTGGTTTGGTATTTGACGAAAATTGCGGCAGAAGCACGGACGGCGTCGACATCTCATTCATCTCTTCATTTTAAAATTTGTTTCATTCATGCATATGGGGAGCTGCCTGGTTGACTCTGCAACAGTCATTATTAAAAAGAGAATTGACTTGCAAATGGAGGATTCTATATTTCTTTTTGTGTTTTGTTAAAAGGGTTTTAGAATCGAGAGGCAAAGGTGCCTTGGTATGGTACAACACCGATATCTCCGACAGCAGCCACAGATGGGTTGGTTTTCAGTGCGGCAGCAAGAGCGCCGTTAACGTCCTTTTCTGTGATGGCGTCGTATGTAGCTGCAAGAGCAGTAGCGTTGGAGAAGAAAGATCCAGATTCCATAACACTTGCAGTCATTGTGGCGGCAAGCCCCTTGCTTCCACAGTCCATGCCAAAGAGAGCCTCGGCCTTGGCAAGAGTCTTGGCCTTGTTGACAACATCAGCTGAAAGCTTGGATGTCAAAGCTCCAGTAATGGCAGAGTCGATGGAGCCAGCACCTTCGGTGACAGCACCACCATAAACTCCAACAAGTCCACTGGTGGCGAATCCAGAAACACCACCTTCCTTTCCGGCGATGGAGAAGCAATGCTTCAAGACGTTTCTCAATGGGATGGAAGCATCGGTACCAAAGGCAAGAGCAACGTGAGCATATCCAATTGGTGCAGCAATTCTGGCTTCTCCACCAATGTAGGCGGGTTCGGGAACGCCATGGGAAGATCCAGCGGGGGCTTCGCTCAACAACTCCTCAACGTTGCTGCAGAAAGAAGCGTGATCCTTGATTCCGGTGGCGGCCAAGATGGCTCCGTCAAGTCCGTATCCTCGTGTTCGGAAGGAAGCGATTTCATATGCTCCAGCGCTAGCATCGAAAAGCGGACGTCCCATTGGGGATTGGGCACCATAGGCAGCAGCAAAGATTTGTTCCGTAAGGACCTCTTGGGCATTTTTGTTGGCAGCAGCGACTTGGTATGCGGCAAGAGTTTTTGCGTCACGAACATCCCATTTTTCGAAAGTGCAGTCAGTGGCAAGAAGTGGAATCAATCCCTCGGCATTATCGGGCTCGACAGTGTATCCAACAGTGGCAAAATCTCTTTCAACAGAAGCAAAAGGAATGGCACCCTCGTTCTCAATCGATCGGAGGATCATGATTGTAGAAAGACCAGATCCACTGTTGAAAGCCAAGCACTTGTTGATCAAAGCAGCTCCTTGCTCTCCGAGTTGTTCGGATCCAGAACCTGCCTTTGGAAAGGTCATCGTGACTGTGGAAGTGGAGGCAGCATCCTCAGAAACTACAGTCAAGCCACTAGAAAGCTTGGTGACTGAAGCAGTAGATGCCTTTGCTGTCTCTGGGGTTGTGCTGGGAAGACTGCAGTTTGTATTTTATTAATAGTGAAAACGACAACAACAACAACAATCGAGAAGAAAAAAAGCCAAAAAGGTGGTGAGAGCCTACTGACGGACGACGACCGAGTACGTCAAAAACGTAGATCTCTACGGACACGCGATAAGCATCGGCCATTTGGCAGTCTTGTCGGCAATAAAACCTACCCTGGGAATTCCTCAGTGGCAACAAGGACAGTCGAAAATTCTCTTCCCTTGCGAGAGACAGCAGAAAGACCTCGACGGACAGCAATACTCGCCATGATCTCCAATTTGTTGAATGCCGACTGCAGTCGATTGTTGTTGATCTCAGCGATGTTGGAATCGGGTACATGGACAGGCGAGATTCCGACAAGGCATGCGCAGTTTCAGTTCTCTTCTGACGTAAGCTGCAAAGATAGTCGAAGGTATCGGCTCCCAAACCGTTATTTTTGGATTTGAATAAAATCATCCGATTTGAGATTGTTCTCTCAATTCTACCAACAACACACTGTTTGTATCGAAAATGGCCACTGCTACTGACAATAAAACCGAAATCACACTGAAAGGTAGTGTTGATATCGTCTCTGAATTCTTCTTTACTGCCATCAATTCCATTCTATACCAAAGAGGTAAGATCCATTCATTCTTCTGAAGCCATGATTTCTGAAGTTTCTGATGAATTGAGTTCTAATGTTTTCTGCAATTTGCATCACATTTGTAGGTATTTATGAGCCCGAAAGCTTCAAACGCGAATCCAAATATGGTCTGACTGTGCTTACCTCATCTGATAAGGGTCTCTTGAGATACTTGAAGAATGTCATGATGCAAGTCGAGACATGGTTGTTGAGTGGAGATGTCCAACGATTGGTCGTTGTGGTTAGTGGGGTGGATTCTGGAGAAACCTTGGAACGTTGGCAATTCAATGTTTCACTCGATGGAGACAGTGAGAATGGCGAGAATAGCATGCCCAATGGTGGTGCTCCTCCCCAGCAAAAGACGTTGAAGGAAATTCATGGTGAAATTCAAGCCATTATTCGTCAAATTACCGCCAGTGTCACATTCCTTCCACTTCTGAATGAGCCATGCTCCTTTGATTTGTTAGTTTATACCAAGAAGGATGCAGTCGCCCCCACCATGTGGGAAGATTCCGATCCTTGTTACATTATGAACAGCCAAGAAGTCAAGCTTCGAAGCTTTACCACATCGGTACGATTTTTTTTCTGGTGAATGGTGACCTTGGAGGTTGCACAATATCTTTACGCTAACACATTACATTTATCCTCCTTTGACAGGTTCACAAAGTTGACTCCATGGTCGCATATCGGGAGGCTGATGAGTGGGAACTCTAAATTTTGCTGGCAAGCCAAGCGATCACTTCATACCACCACAGTATGTATACTGTATTTACGATAAGAAGAGGTGAATCCATGAATAGCAGCTGGATTGATGATGGTCAATACATCTGATGCATTGTGCTGTAGACATCTCTAATATAACTTCGACATTTTAATATAAGCAAAATGCTACATACCACTTCGAAGCAATGATTGCTTTCATCTTTTTATGGGTGTGATCACTCATCGAGCAGGTTGGTGTCCCCCTTGTAACACATCGATACTTGCATATATATAATAGTGTATCCATATTACTAAAAATAAAACTATGTATTTATATTAGAAAAATGGAGAATTCAGTTTAGGTGCAACGGTGACGACTGATGTAATTGCTGTTTTTAGACAGCAACCTCCTCAACCTTCAATCCATTGCCCTTCTTCGACTTCCAATCTTGGACAGCTGCCTTGATGGCATCCTCTGCCAACATAGAGCAGTGAAGCTTGACAGGGGGAAGCTTCAAGTGTGCGGCAATATCGGAATTCGTAATTGCCAAGACTTCGTCCACCGACTTGCCCTTGACCCATTCGGTGGCAACTGAACTGGAAGCAATCGCTGATCCGCATCCAAAGGTTTTGAACTTAGAGTCAGTGATATTTCCATTAGCGTCCACCTTGATTTGTAGCTTCATGACATCTCCACAAGCTGGGGCACCGACCAAACCCTGCACGATTCAAAATGTAAAAAGGGATGACAAGTGAAAATAAGTGAGATGAGTTTTCTTCATTGCAACAGATGTAACTGCTTGATGGTCCCAAGAAAGGTTTAATGGAATATCGACATCACTGTCTCATCCATCACGGCAGCAGCATTATCAACAAGACCAAACAAAATCCATAAACTTACGGTACCAACAGTAATATCATTCTTATCCAAAGAACCAACGTTCTGAGGATTCTCATAATGCTCAACAATATTGTCGTGATAAGATCTGGTTTGTGTAGCAACAACAGATCCAGCCAACGGAGAGGATCGGGTTGCGATTGCTCTGGAGATAGCTCTGGTAGTAGATGACAACATGATTTGATACTTGCTAGTGAAATATATTGTGAGATGGGTGTGATACGAAGAGGAGGTGGTCTACCGGTATCACTCGATCGTGAAGGACGAAGAATCTTGCTCACCGACTGCGAGCTCTCATATTCTGCACGTGCAACAACGCGCGATCGAAGGGTTTCGAAATCCATAGGTACGACACCTTCGACTAAACTCAACACAAGTAAGGATGGACGAATAATGAATCTGCATCATCATTCTCTACCGCAAAACTTCACCATGGACTTTTTGCTAAATGTGGATTTGTTACAGGACTCTGCTTCCATGGTACTCGTAGGGGCACTTTGGGGTTGCACGAATCCGCTGTTGCGAAAAGGTTCCGTCGAAGCGGCCAGATACACTCGACGCAACGAGTCGTTTCTCCAGAGCTCGTTGCGATCCTTACTCAACGTCAAAGTTTGGCTCCCTTATATACTGAATCAGTCTGGTTCTCTTGTCTTTTACTTTCTGCTAGCCAAATCCGATCTGAGTCTGGCGGTGCCTATTTGTAATGCCTTGGCGCTCGTCTTTTCGTTTGTGACAAGCCTGGCATTGGGAGAGAAAATGCAAAAGCCCATTCGGTCCTTTCTGGGAGCCACATTGGTAGTGGTGGGAGTGACTATTTGTGTTTCGACGCAAGAGGAACAAAGCTGATGGTGAATAGCAGCAGATAGCAATCTAAATTTGGTTTGTCGAATGAATGATTGATTGA